ACACACACACACACACACACACACACACACACACACACACGTTTTTGTCTTTGAAGCAAGTTAATGCGTACTCAATAGACATACGAGACTGAGTGAACACAGGTTTCATACTTACGAATAGATTTTGACATGCCATACTTTGTATTTCGTACTCAATCAATCGACATAGACCATCGAATTGACGAGGATTACGCTGGTCTCAGAGTGGCTCTGCAGTCTGACCTGTAGCTCGCCTGGCTTGCACAGTGCAAATGAACGTCTACACATTATCGTGTGCTTGAACAGTGTCGCTGTGTGGTCTGTCTATTGTCAGCTGAGCTGCGTGACGCGTCAGACGTCCTATTGCTATTCGACAGTGTTATACAACATAAGCTGACTTGACGTTTTAGAGGGACTGTCTCTACACCATACCACCAATTTGAAGGTGGAGAATAAAAATCTTAATTTACAACTACAGTGCTAAAGTGCTGTAGTTATGACGGTCATCAATACTCAAATACTTAAATGAAATTATGACAAACTGGGCAGCCACTGCACCGTACTAGGATTTCAGTTTAAGGACTGTTCTAAACACCTGTGGGAAACCTGTTTGAGAGTTGAATAGACCCTAAACATTCTCTGCTTCAATCCTGTCTTCTTCTTTCTTATTTTCAATCTCCTCATACGGTACGATTATTATTCTTTCATCCTTGCCTAGCCCTTGCTTCGAGATCTGTCTACGAACACTGCACATCAGATATTTAGATAGATCTAGGTCTAGATCTAGATAGAAGATTAGATCTAGATCTTGATCAGATGTAAATTATTATTATCTATATCTAGAATCTAGGCCTTTCTCTCTAGGACTTTGATGTTGGTTCTAATGCCCTTAGAATGTTGGCCATACGTTGAGTTTAGTCTTCTAACCAGACATCTCCCTACTATAGGCAGTTGAAGTGGGGGGGTTTAAATGTTCTTTACCAGGTTGGCGATTTCTTCTTATTTTCATGAACATCCGAGGGGGAAATGGACACAGTCACAAAAGGGAAACCGTAGGGAGGATATCAACTTGAAGAGCTTGTTGGAAACTCATACCTTCAATTCTGTTCTATTTTTGGTTAGTTGTTTTTGTTTGTTGTAGTTTTGTTGTTGCTGTTGTTGTTGTTGTTGTTGTTGTTGCTGCTGCTGCTGCTGCTGCTGTTGTCGCTGTTGTTGTTGTCTTTGTTGTGTGTGTGTGTGTGTGTGTGTGTGTGTGTGTGTGTGTGTGTGTGTGTGTGTGTGTGTGTGTGTGTGTGTGTGTGTGTGTTTGTGTGTTAGTCTATCCTTCCGAATTGTTCGGAACCGCGAAGAGCGTGCTCACCGCCAGGGCCTCTGCCTCTCTTAGGTAGCGGGTGAGAAAGTCCAACATCCCTGAAGACTTCCCAAAGAGATGCCACCGCCTGACCTCGGCTGCGGGGCATCTCTGCGGTCAGTGATCAAAATCTTGGGGCTCCTTGCTGCCTAATGGACACATTGGTTGTTGTTGTTGTTATTTTTAATTTCTCTTTTAACTAGAAACTAACAGTAACAGTAATTTGGGTAACCATAAACCAACAGTCAAACAGAAAATAAAAGAGCCAACAAGATTTGTGAGGCAGCGTGGTGGAATCAGGCTCTCGTCAATCTTTGGGCTTGTAGAGTTATTGGTGTCATCTTAAAGCTTGTTCACTTGTCTTTATTTGGATGGAAAAAATATCCTTTTTTCTTGAATACAAATCGAGATATTTGCGAAAGAAGGAGGTGGGGGTCATCTGTTTTTAGAGGCAAAATTAGTGAGAAAATGGCCGCCAAAGATAAGTTATTACAATTTCATTTTTTTTGCCTTTCATCAACGTTTTTCAAAAATATTCTCACAGAAATGAGTTCTTTAATGGGCATGAAAGGTGTTCAGCCAAAAAACAAAAATTTGATAAAAATTCACAAACCTGCGGAAAAATGCAAGTTTCTTCACTTTGATTATTTTGACGAGAGCCTGATTCCACCACGCTGCCTCACATTTTGAATTTGTTATCCTCACAATTTTCATTTTAAGACTTTGCCCTTTTTTCCTGAGTAGTTTACTCATCAAATATCATATTCACTTCCCCAGTGATTTGAAATTAAAATGCCCAAATGCAGATCATGATAATTAAAGTATCCTGGCACGTTTAGGGGTAGGAAGTCGGTGCTCCACAGTGCTTCAAGGAGCACACTCCACCGATTATTGCTTCTACTAACACCCTGGTCACCAACAGCACCAGTGACTAAGATAAGATAAGATAAGATAAGATAAGATAAGATAGGATAAGATAAGATAAGATAAGATAAGATAAGATAAGATAAGATAAGATAAGATAAGATAAGGGGAGGCAAGGTGAGATAAGATAAGATAAGATATTGATCGTCAAAGAGAAATAATATTTGATGCAGCATAGTAACATTACATGCACACACTTTCATTAACACACACACACACACACACACACACACACACACACACACACACACACACACACACAAACACACACACACAAACACACACACACACGCACACCCACAGTTACATACACGGACGCAGACACACACGGATAGTCATTGGACGGACATACTAACTGATGATACTCTCGCAATAACTGATCAGTTTGTATTGATGACGACATGAATTAATTGTTGTATCTGTTGGTTCTTGTTCAAGTTTCTATAAGTTATCTGATATTCCGAATTTTGGGGCTTTTAGTATCAGCAATGATTTTTTCTGTTGCATTTACAAGACCGAGAGGCGCCAAGCAGAAGTAATGGCTAAAATAAGCTAGTTTAATCAAGACTGCGATGTCGTCAAGTCATAGGCTATATAAGCTGCCAACAAACAGAAATAAAACATTTAATCTAAACGCAAGCGAGATCCACTAGAACTCGTTACATGTTTTTTTTTTTTGTTTTTTTTTGTTTTTTTAGTAGAGGTTTTACGGCGCTCGCAACTGCATAAGGTCATATGAACGCCAAGGGGTGGATGTCAACAGAGAAGTCCTTACAGGGAATCAGACTTACTGTTCTCACCTCTCTAGCTTGAACTGCCGAAAGTCTGATTCGACTATCAAGGCACCCCGGAAATAGCGGGTCACAAGAGTATGACAAACATACAAAAGAAGTAGAGGAAATGACGATAGTAAGGATTAGGAAAGAAAAAGCAGCAGTTCCCTGCTGTAGTTCAGGCACAGTTATGAGCATGGCATTGTTGGATCAGGTAATTTACAATTCTACAGTGCATTAGAACGAGAAATGTCCCCCCTTTGGGAATGGCTTAAAGACACTTCAGTCAGTGGCATCGCCCGGGGGGTCTCGTTACAAGTGTGGCGGAGATCATCGTCCATACTCATGGTTATCTAAAAACCCACATATCTATTATCTATTTGTGGTGGCCGAATTTTGCTATTCAAAAGGCTTTTTAATGGCTGCATCGATCGACATGCGTTTTCGCCAAAAGATTATTTAAAATATTCTCCAGATCATGACGCCCTTCGTTTTTTCATTTTTGAGACAGTTTTGCTGCAAAAAGCTAAATTTCTTTATTTCGCCGATCGCTTTTGTAGGCCGACGCTTCTGAATCTGTAATTTTAGAAAATCTGGAGCGGAAGTGATATTTTGCGAGGCATATTTTGTTTTGAGAGTAGAGATCTAGACATTCTAATTTTTTGCATCTCTTAAGATTTATTGCTCCATTTCAGTAGAGTGTAAATATAGTAGGCCAATGACTTTCAGTTGATGTTAATGCACCGATCATTCCTTTCATCGAAAGGGGGCCCAGCTAGTAATATTCTAATTCTGATGTCGACGTTCAGCTCAGCGCCCTGTCCCGACTACTCACAACTGAAATCTTTTATGACGATTAACAAACAACAAAACAAACCACATATTAAGTGCAACACAAGATAATGTAAGTTGACTCAAACTGATAATGTGAGCGGTTGGTGGGTGATCTTCTGCGGTTTGCTCCTTCATTTCTCTATCAAACATCTATCTTTTTTAAAAAAATCTCTCCTCCTTCTTTTGTTTGTATATTACGCTCCAGGAAAACATCTAATCTTTGGCATTTAAATGACCCAATTGTGTTGCAAGTGCCGTAAAACTCTTACTAGATACGGTGGAATCAGGCACTCGTCAATTTTTTGGGCATGTGGAGTTATTGATGTCATCTTAAAACCTGTTCATTCGTTTATCTTTTGGGGAAAAAATTGCCCATCTATTTTTTTTATAGAAGTGGAAATATTTTTGATTGAAGTAGGTAGGGTAACCTGATTTTAGAGGAAAAATAAGGGAGAAAATGACTGCCAAAGCTTGGAATCTTTCAATGCGTGAGAGCCCTTGAAAACTGAAAATTTACATTTTTTGTACCTTTAATCAACGTTTTTCAGGATAATCCACACAG